GTACACAGGTTCAATTTATTTTACACACTACTGTATATAAACGCGATTTTCGCTTGTTAGTCATCTCTCTCGTCTCATATTTCTCTTGCCCCTCTCTCTCTTTTTCATACACTCACTCTCACACTTTAATTCCGTTCACAAATAAATTTATCCAACGACCTTTTTTATTCAAACAATTTGCCAATATCAAGAAGTGAGCCAATTCGATTGAATGACAATTTGATTAAAACTCTTACTTCAAGAACCTAAAACGTAGGGGACAAAAAAGAAAAAAAGAAAAGAAAAAATCTATTTACATATGACACGATCAGACAAAAAGACATGAAAAAAAAAACAAAAAAAAACGAAAAAAATAACGTTTGAAAACAGAAAATTTTCTTGCTATTCGACGTTTCTCCAAAATGACAGACGATAACAATTCAGTAATCATTTCTTGTGTTATTAATGTTTACTGTGAACAGTGGAATAGCTAGACTGTGGGCCGCCTGGGGCTAAGTGTGTGCCGCCCGGGGCAGCCATTCAATTTGAATAGTGACATCCCCTTTTATACAGGGCGCGATGGGTAAATTGTCGCCATTTTATATTTTTTATTTCGCGTATGCGCGTCGTTTATTTTTGATTTTGTCGATTGCACAGTATAGCAGACTCAATTGGGCACCATCTGTGAGAAAAAGAACATTATGACGCAATTCACTCCACCAGTAAATTGGAAACGACATGTTGTACTGCTTGGCATTCCCGCCGGAAGCTCCAATGCGAACATTTCCAAGTGATTGGGTGTCAGTGCAAAGGATTCACAAAGAGTTGGATGAGTCTATTGGCGATTACGAAGATGTTTGGTGTGATCACTAGTGATGGCGATGTTATGCCCCCATTCATCTTCTCACAGGGCCTCAGACTAAACACGGAGGCCTATATCAAGTGCCTTGATGGGGTAGTGCTTCCCTGACTCAAGAGGGTGGCTGCTGGAAGAACCTATGTTTGGCAACGACAAAATAAAATCCGGAATGATTATTGGATTCTATTTAAGAGCACTAAGAATTTGCAGCCCTCAATATTACCACGAAGAAGAGAAATACATTGCAAATACATTCAAGTCTCTCCAATACCCTATTTCATTTTCAATGCGGAAAAAAGGCTCATAAAATATTCCAAAATAGAAAAGTTGTTCTTCCTGACAAACACAACGAATCAAAAAACATTATTCTACCAACTAACTGTATCACAATTACAACCGTAAAGAATTTATCTAAACTCAACATAAAATTTGTCATTATTTACATTATTCGGACTATTGTCTTCATCTTTGTTGCCATATTTATCACAGCGTTTCGGCCGTTGTACACTCCGGCCTTCTTCAGGTGGTTGGAATGTCGAACCGAACCCTTTTTGTTTTTTCGCTCACTGAGGTAGACTGTTTTAGTTCCACGTGCCATGTTTTAATGGATGTCAGTTATCAGTTATCTCCTGTTAATTTTTCCCTCTGAAAGTTCTCCACTGCCTTAGCCGGGTATTGAACTCACACTTTGGGTTATGTCACTGGATCTTACCAACGCCTTTATCTAATGTGCCATGTGTCCTTGTGTTAATGTACATAATAACTTATCTCAGAAATATAGACATAAAATTTGGCACAACTACATCTAAAAGAATCAATGACTTAATTAATAAAGAAACAAAACAACGAACCAAAAGTTGAAGGAAGAATTTACTTTATCAAATGCAGGAATTGCCACAATGAATACATTGGAGAGACCTCAAGAAGAGTAAACAAAAGACTATATGAACAAAAAAGGGACATTTTAAATAACAACACATAAAACGCATTGGTTGTTCACCGTAACAAAACGGACCACAATTTTGATATAGGTAATGCTACTTTGACTAAAAGAGAAAGTTATCCACTGAGACGAAAATGTCTGGAAACTGCCTTCATCGCTTGTTCAGCTACAATAAAGTTGCGTACTAATATAACACCATTATTGGCAGATTTTATATTATTAGAGTGTGGGATAGTCAGGGATAAAGATGATGGAGAGAGAAAAAAGAATATTGATGAATTTTGTCTAGACTGAAACAAAAATTATTATATTAAAAAAAAATTCTTTCAAAAAAAATTTTGAAACTACCTGCGCCTCTCGTTTCGTGCGCATGTGTAGACATGTGGCAACGTCAACAAAGCCCAGTCCGATAAAATCCTAACGGATGAAACACATTACAATAAATTTACCAACACAACATTAATAGGATGAGACCTAACTGGCAATCTAGTACTGCACTTAAATTCGTGAAGTCTCGGTACCAAAGAGGAAATATCATCAGAAGAATTACCAGGAAAATATTTATAGAAAAGGCACAGACAAAAAGATGAAGTATTATCTTATTCCATGAATTATTTAGACTAGTTCATCTTTGTTGTATTCAACTCCAGCCTGGTGAAAAGTGAATGGAACCGAGATGCCAGGTCAGGACCAACAACATTGTACATTCTTTTTTGGATCTTGTCAAGCATCGCTAAATATATAGCAAAGTACCATTTTGAACAAATATATTTATGTAAGAGAGGTACGGTGGAGCAATGGAGAGTCTAAAGCTCGGAACGAGGAATCATTATTCCATGAATTATTCAGACTAGATCCTCATCTTTGTCGAGTTGAATTGAATCCATTGTATTCAACCTCATGCACTTTGGAATGATATGAATCCTTTTATTCTCCTCCCATTTATAGGTAAGTAGAAAGCAGACTGGGTTTTATAGCCTTGAGTGGCAACCAGTCTAGGAGAAAGATGAAGAAAATTATTCCATGAATTCAAACCGGTATTCAACTTGGAGAACCATTATTCCATTTATTCAGACTAGTATCCTGCAGTATAAAGTTCTCAGATGAAGTATTGTCATTATTCCATGAATTATTCCCTATTTGTGATATTTAGGTAACAACCCTTGATTTTTAAGCTGTTCTATGAAGTAAAACAAACGAATCATGAAAGTTTATTTTTGAAATTTTCGCCTGGTTCTGAATGAGACGCACAAAGGTAAGAGAAAAATTGTACAGGACCTCGCAAGGTGACGGCATATGAATGGTCAAACGGACATTTTTACGTGTGTATTTTGTTATTTAGAAGTATCCTCATCTTTGTTGTATTCAACTCTCCAGCCTTCCTTGTTGAATATATAAACATACACACAGACACAGACACAAAGTTCAAACATATTCCACACAGTATCCTCATCTTGTTGTATTCAACTAAATCCTTGTGTTGTCTAAAGTTCTCAGATGTTTGTCATTATTCCATGAATTATTTAGACTAGTCCCTCCTAGTGTTATATAAGGATCAAAACTGAAGGATTGTCAGCATTATACTATTAAATTATTTAGTACCTCATCTTTTGTATCCTCATCTTTTGTTGTGATTCATCTCTCCATCCTTCAACTAGTGTTGTCTAAAGTTCTCAGATGTAATATTGTCATTATTCCATGAATTATTCAGACTAGTATCCTCATCTTTATTGTATTCAACTCTCCAGCCTTCCTAGTGTTGTCTAAAGTAAAGTTCTCCAGATGAAGTATTGTCATTATTCCATGAATTATTCAGACTAGTATCCTCATCTTTATTGTATTCAACTCTCCAGCCTTCCAGCCTAGTGTTGTCTAAAGTTCTCAGATGAAGTATTGTCATTATTCCATGAATTATTCAGACTAGTATCCTCATCTTTATTGTATTCAACTCTCCAGCCTTCCTAGTGTTGTCTAAAGTTCTCAGATGAAGTATTGTCATTATTCCATGAATTATTCAGACTAGTATCCTCATCTTTCTTGTATTCAACTCTCCATCCTTCCTAATGTTGTCTAAAGTTCTCAGATGAAGTATTGTCATTATTCCATGAATTATTCAGACTAGTATCCTCATCTTTATTGTATTCAACTCTCCAGCCTTCCTAGTGTTGTCTAAAGTTCTCAGATGAAGATATTGTCATTATTCCATGAATTATTCAGACTAGTATCCTCATCTTTATTGTATTCAACTCTCCAGCCTTCCTAGTGTTGTCTAAAGTTCTCAGATGAAGTATTGTCATTATTCCATGAATTATTCAGACTAGTATCCTCATCTTTGTTGTATTCAACTCTCCATCCTTCCTAATGTTGTCTAAAAGTTCTCAGATGAAGTATTGTCATTATTCCATGAATTATTCAGACTAGTATCCTCATCTTTATTGTATTCAACTCTCCAGCCTTCCTTCCTTTTTGTGTTGTCTAAAGTTCTCAGATGAAGTATTGTCATTATTCCATGAATTATTCAGACTAGTATCCTCATCTTTATTGTATTCAACTCTCCAGCCTTCCTAGTGTTGTCTAAAGTTCTCAGATGAAGTATTGTCATTATTCCATGAATTATTCAGACTAGTATCCTCATCTTTGTTGTATTCAACTCTCCATCCTTCCTAATGTTGTCTAAAGTTCTCAGATGAAGTTGTCTATTGTCATTATTCCATGAATTATTCAGACTAGTATCCTCATCTTTGTTGTATTCAACTCTCCATCCTTCCTAATGTTGTCTAAAGTTCTCAGATGAAGTATTGTCATTATTCCATGAATTATTCAGACTAGTATCCCTCATCTTTATTGTATTCAACTCTCCAGCCTTCCTTGTGTTGTCTAAAGTTCTCAGATGAAGTATTATCATTATTCCATGAATTATTTAGACTAGTATCCTCATCTTTGTTGTATTCAACTCTCCAGCCTTCCTAGTGTTGTCTAAAGTTCTCAGATGAAGTATTGTCATTATTCCATGAATTATTCAGACTAGTTGTATTCAACTCATCATCCTCATCTTTGTTGTATTCAACTCTCCAGCCTTCCTAGTGTTGTCTAAAGTTCTCAGATGAAGTATTGTCATTATTCCATGAATTATTCAGACTATTATCCTCATCTTTGTTGTATTCATCTCTCCAGCCTTCCTAGTGTTGTCTAAAGTTCTCAGATGTAATATTGTCATTA